CGAGAGGAGGTTTCAAGCGCATACATCGTGGTAATTCATCACATACACTTTCTTCACAATAAGGAGAAGTTGGGGATTCACAAACGACTATCTCACAAGAAAGAATTGCTACAAGACAAATTTTATTGAAAATAGACATAGATAGGTAAACTTTGATCACCTTATTTAATAGATATATATTGTGTTAACATAAATATTTTTGATTTATTTAACAGCTTTGATCCTTCAAGTGCTACAAGAAAATTGGTTGCAATATTCAAAAGAGCATTCAGTGGTTCATGGCCTACGTGGAAGAAGGTACCGGATTATGTTAAAGACCGTTGGTTTAATGAATTTGAGGTATGTTCACTTTAGATTGAAAAAATTCTACAACTAGTTCTTGAGTAATTACTGGTGTTGAGTTGAAGCTGCATTTTATGTTTATGCACTTTTCTTGAGTGAGTTTTCTAAGTGTACCTCAACATACTGTATATGCATTTTCTTTTCGAAGTGATAGTAGGCTGAATATGATAGCGTGGAAGGTGATTGTCATAGTAATATAACATTATATATATGTGCAACACAATATTTTATAGTCTGGTATAATCTTGAATACTTTAGTTTGTCTAATTAATATTTCACAAAACATGTCTTGCATTTCAGAGCTTCTCATTACTTTTAATTCTCTTTAAAAATAATATAATATTCATTGTCGGTCATGATTTGAAAATTATTTATGTGTTATTTATATTGAATACATGCAGAAGTTGTACTATTGGCCCGCGGAAGACCACACGACAATAAGAAAACATTTTGAACATAAATGAAGTGTAAGTTTGAGCAATAGTTTGAACAAAGCGAGAAAACAATTTCATGAGAAAAATATAATACCGAAGTGGATCAATCAGAATCATTGGAATGAGTTGTTGGCTTATTGGAACACCCAAAAGTTTAAAGATAAATCGGAAATTAATTGTGATAACAGAAACTCAAGTCATGATGATTTAGGTCCCTCGTTGCATACAAAAGGATCAATTCCAGTTTCAGAATATAAAAGAAAATTCGTAAGTGTTAATTTTGATATTTTATAATTATATTTTATTTTACTAACACCAATTAACTATGTTTTTAATTTTATTTTTAGGTGAAAGAGAAAGGAGTAGGGCCTACTGCTTCTGAGTTTTTTTTTATGATTCACAAAACGAAACAGAATAATGATTGGGTTGATGGAAAATCAAAAGCTGTATGGGTACGCATCTACTTTACTATAATATAAAAATGTTATGCTGCAAGAATTTAGTTGTGGGGGAAATTTCTTATGATTGTTTTTGAATACTTTTTTGTGTATTTTCAGTTACTGCTTCTGAATATTGATCATGTTGTTAGACAAGTTTCATTTAATTGATAATGTATTATATAGTTTAATGAAGAAATCTTTATATTCAATATGTATTAATTCTTAAAATTTGTAATTATTCAGGCTAAATTTCAAACCATCATCAAGAGTCGTCATTCAAGTGACATGTCTGGGACATAGGGTGGTGGCGAAGGAAATGAAGACGCAAGAATCGAAAATCAAGAGGAAGACGAAGAAGAAGATGGAGATGATGCATTCATGGCAATAACATCTGCTCTTCCTAAAGAAGATCTTGATAAAGCGTGGCTCGAGGCAGTTGGAGGGCCGATAAAAAGAAGAGTTTACGGTCTCGGATCGGAGTCCAGTTCTGTTGTACAAGGAGGTGGTCCTACATTTCATGCTCCAACCGGTTCTTCATCAGCATCATCTGTACCTTCTCAATGCTTATTTGAAACTCCTTCATTCGAAGAAGCTGTTAATCGAGCGGTAGAGCAAAAAGTAACCGATATGCAGGCTACTTTTCAAGAGGAACTGCAAGCCTTGAAAACAACCATTCAAGAGATGCGTGAAAGACAACCTGGAGGAGATGGTAGAGATGGACTGTAGCATCGCACTTATATGGTAGAGATTTTTTTTTATCACGAATATTTTTAATCGTTTGGAAGACGAGTAGTAGCGCTTAGCCTTACAATCTTGAAGACTGTGTTTTGAATTATCATTACGTGGATATTTAGATATGTTAGCTGAGTTGGAAGTTGTGTTTGGGTTAATTTTATGGATTTTTAGGTCGGTGTTTTTTTATCTTATTGTTGACTGGATGTTGATTATGGCAGAAATAATAGTGTTTGACTTTTATCATGTATTTGTTGTCTTGATTTGATTGGTGGATTATGAGTGAAAGTGTGGTGCTTATTTTTTTGTAAGGAAGTGAATATTGCAGTATATAATGCATTGAAATGGTTTTGGAACAGGGAATTATAAATTTAAATTTTTTTTTTAATTGAAATTGTTTTAGCGATGGATTTAACGACATACAGAAAATTCTGAAAATTCATTTTTCCGACGGATGTAGTGATGGATTTTGCCACAAACACCGGCGACGTAAAATTTTCCATTAGCGACGGACATGGCCATCACTGCTCAAATATCACTTGTCAAGTTTTAGCGACGTCTGATTATGCATTAGCGACAGATATGTTCATAGCTACGTTATCAACGGATTTTTGTTGTTTGTCTCAAAATTTAGCGAGGCCGGATTTGGTGATGGCATTTGCGACGGCCTAAATTCGTCGATAACTATATTTTGGCGACAGATTAAATGAATTAGTGACGGATATATCCATCACTAAATCATGATTTTCTAGTAGTGGTGGGAGTGTTAAAATGAGTCAAATGATGAAAGACTCATTATGTTGATGAAATGACAAAAAAAAGTTACCGAGATATCCCTCTTGGGGTATGAGGTATCGGGTAGACGAGAAAGCTAGACTGTGTTATCTTAGTTCTTGCGCAAGCAACCACATTTACGAAAGGGACATAATGGAGACTCACTAGTAGTTGAACCAAAGGGGCAGTTAAAATAAAAGGCCCTTGAACTTGATGTCACAGATGCAGATAATCGAAAGACTAAGGAGCAACTCAACCAAAAGACTTCAGAATGTACGGAGTTGCAACAATCAAATGTCAAATTGCGACAAGTGATCTCTCGCACAGTCGACCAGAGAGACTTCTTTCCATCGACTAGAAATGTGAAGGATTCAAATGATATGTTTGCTTCTACAAGCTCAAGAAGTGAGACTAAACAACTAAGAAAATGATTAGTTGCATCAACCAAGTCAAAAAAGGAGCTAGAGCTACGCAACATGGAACTTGAAATTTGAAAGTTTGTATGCAAATGGACTAGTAGTAACAACAGCAGTAATTGAATTAATGGCTCTGAACGAAAAAGTTGAGAAGCTAAGTAATCACAACGGGAAGTTAGTGAACCATAATGAGAAGCTAATGAATACAATGAGAAGTTAGTGAACCACAATGAAAAGTTAATGAGTCATTGCAACAATAAAATTTATTTTTTGCAAATTTAACATACAAGAAAAACTTGCACAAATATAATTTATTGAATCAAGATAGTGTGTCTTACAATTTCGAAGGCAATCATATAATTCTACTCTCAAGAACAATATATGATTTGACTTTGAAAATTCGGAGTTGGGTCGTTGACTTGATCTTTCCGGATTTTATTTATTTCTCCAATAACGTTATTCAAGCATCTTACGACTTAATCTTGAATCAAACACTATGATTTGATGAACGCTGACTTCTTGGATCGTGGATCTCTTGATGAATTTAACCCTTCAATCTTCTGACGATCTTGACTTGATGTTAATAACGTTAATTCGATAATTTAATACCATAATCTCAAATCAAACGCCGTCTTTGACAAAGAACGCCTTGAATTTGGTTAATAACGTCTTGATTTGTTGAAGAACACCTTCAGTTGTGTAGAAATAATTTGCTCCTACGATTTTTTCTTTTAACTGCGTACGAAGGTTCTTATTTATAAATGTAGCACAAGAGTCCTAAATAAACTTCTTTAATGACGTGACGCAATTAGATTGGCTTCTTCTAAATATGGATATACATCGCAAAATATCAATTTAATTTGATATTTATCTCTATGACTAACTTGTACTCCTGCAAGACAAGTTATAATATTGAAATTTAATTTCAACACAATTTAATTTGGTTAAAATTGTTGCGTCTACAGTCACAATGACAGATTAGTTGTCGAGATGAAAGTTGTACAGACACAGAGAAATATCGAGTAGAAGCTTATATGTGGTAGCGACGTTGAATGTATGTCATCATGCATTGTGGTTAAGGAGTTCAATTTTGATCAAGAAGGTTCAACACAAGTTTTTGTTGATAACAAGTCAGCAACTGCACTAGCAAAAACACATTGTTTCATAATCAAAGCAAAAACACTAATACTCAGCATTATTTTATTTGAGAGTGCATTGCAAAGAAAGTTCAAGTCAAACCCTTAATTAAAGAAATTGAGAGTCAACCTAAAATTGTCATCCCGATTCTCCAACACAAGTTGGCCTCCTTCCACTGCAATTCTGTCCACCAATTGTGTTCCATCTCAAATTTAAAAATCTTCTTAACATTGTAACTATTTTCCCAAAAGTACCCTCACCATAACTATTGTGTGACATCAATTGCTCAAAGTTACAATTTTAAGATAAATTATAAATATTCCATATTTCGTTTTTATTTTTTAAGAAGCTTGAATTTCATTAAGAAATTGAATCTACACTACTAGTAAGAACAATTTTCAACCGAGCTAGAAGTATAATACGGTAAATTCTCGACAAATTAATAATCTCACTTAAATAACAATTTATTCCGATTCCGACTAGATAAAAAACATATTAAATTATTATGATAATTTAATAATTTACTATCCGATAGTGTTAATTTATAGAGATTTACATGTATCTACGTAAAAGTAAGCTAAACCAGTTGTACTTGTTTCATATAAAATGCTTAGTCGAGAATCAAATTACATGTATAATTATCAGAGTAATTATTATGAATATACTAAATATACTTTCAACTTTTATCTATTAATGAAAAAAATTTCCAATTTTATTTCCCATCATATGAAATTATATCTCAAATATAATTTGATAAAATAATCTCTACACATATATATATATTATCCAAAAAGTAAAATCACAAATCCATACAAAAAAAAAATCATAGAGCTAATTGAATGTCACCAAGATCAAGCTGTGAAGTAATCTCCTCAAGCTGCTTCTTCACACTCATATCAATCAATTTCGACCCGGTTTCCCCGTACCGGATCGTGAACCCGGCCACCAGAGACGGGTCAATAACCGTCTTGATTCTGACGTTCTTCGCCCCCGTCATTTTCTGCACGCTTTTCGCGATCTGAGCCAGGTGCTGCGACTCCAGCGCCACCACCGACGCCACCGTGGCGGTCTCCGTTCCGGTGAACCTGTTGTACGCGAACTCGAACTCCTTCAGTATCTCCTTTATCAGATCTATCCTCTTCGTGTCGACCAGGATGTTCAGGAAGTTCGCCACGTACGGCTGCAGCGCCGCCGACTCGACGATCTCGTCGACGATCTTCCGCTTCTCCTCCACGATGATGGTAGGGTTTGTGAAGAACTTCATCACCGGCTCCTGCGCGAAGATCTTCTCCAGCTTCTCGAGGTCGGCCGTCGTCTGCTCCAGCGTGTCGTTCGACTTCGCCACGTCGGCGAGGGCGTTCGCGTAGCTCGCCGCGGCGCTGTCGGCCATCCTGGCGCCGGACGCGCCGCGGGTGCGGCGGCGGAGGAGGGGTTTGATTGTGAGTTTGGTGGATTTTAGGGTTGAGGTGAGGGAGATTTTGGAGGGGGCTGGCTTGGAGTGGAGTTGGGAGGAGAGCGGCGTGCTGGATTGGAATGTGATTGGGGTTTGGTTGAGGGCGGTGGCGGCCATTGCTGCTGAATTCTAGAGAGAGAAAGTAAGTGGTGGAGAGGAGAGAGAGAGAGAGAGAGTGGAGTTTGAAATGATGTGGTAAATAGAAGAAGGGGGGTTTTGGGTGGGGATGAACGGATAGGATTGAAGGAATTGAAGTGATGGACGGTCCAGATTGGAGAAACTATATGTGGGTTGGGAAGAAGGATTGGCTGTCTTATCGGGAGGGATAAGAAAAAATGACACGTGTCTGTCTCACATTAGAGGATTTATTTCTGCTGTTTTTGACCAAAATGAATGATATTGGCTTCTTTTTACCATTATGCCCTACCAATTTATTCAACTCTAATCACATTTCATTGAAATATTTCTACCCAATAATTATTTTACCATAACGTACAATATCAAAATATTTTGATAGCGTAACACTACTCAAAATATTAAAATGATATTGTCCTACCGTATTAAAATATTATTAATAAATAAAAAGTGAAGATAGCAGTAGTTAAGTAACTATTAATAGTTGTACTTTTTAGGTATGCTAAAAATATTTTGAATCATTTTATTAATAATGATATAGTTTATGTGGAGATTTTTTATGTTATAATTTTATTTAAGAAGTATTTTATATTAGGTAAGTTAAGGACATGTATTTAGAATACTTATATCTTAAATAACAATTTTTTTTCTTTTTTTGGAAAAAGGAGAATTATACTTAGCAACATTCGCTAAATCCAACGGGAGGTTAGAACCCTCCAAAGAGACAAAACAAGGAAGTTTTGCAATAGAGTGAGGTAACAGATTGCCCGATCTCTTAACGGAAGTAAGAGAGCGGCAAACAAAGGAATTCTCAATAATAAAGCATTTTTACACGAGCGCGTCAAAAGATGGTGATGTATATTCTCAATTTGTCAATTGCAAAGAGCGTTAATAACTTGTATGGAATCACCTTCGAATATGATATTAGTCCAGCCGTTGTCTTTTAGCCATAGAGATTGTCTTTAATGCCGCCAAAGCTTCCTTCCCCCTCTTCTGGCTGAGGAGTCCATTGAACTCGTGCCACTCTCCAGCCAAGACAAAATACTAATCTTGAAAAATTTAAACGAGTATATGCCATGAATTGTTTTGAAAAAATGATGTTCAATTTTGACACCAATAGTAGATAACGTAAATTGGTAATTACCATTATCATACAGTACCGTACCGTACCGAATTTTTTGGTGTGGCAGTGGTAATGAATTTATAATACCAAAATTTCAGTAATGGTAGTGATTCAAGAGGTTCGATATGGTTGCCCTACCAAACCCACTCCTTCATAAATATGCAGAAAAGGGTTAAATTGGGAACAAAATTAATTTTAGTACTTTAGTCCATGTTGAAGTTATTTCCATATATATATATTTCACATCTTTTTATGAACTAATGTATTTGTTTGTTTTTCCATTTTATTTTGTCCTAATATGAATTCAAGATCTTTTATACCACAAAAAATCTTTGTTGTGATCTTTTATACTACCAAAAAATCAAAAATCTTTGTTGTGACATTTTGCAACTCATTATACAAATATATTTTTATTTAGGAAAAATTAGAGAACCCTTCACTAAATACATAGTTAGGATTAAAATCTCATAAGTTCAACCTTTTCATTTGAAAATACACAAGTCCAATAAGTAATCTTTTAATTAGTAAAGATTAAATTATTTTTTAAAATTTTCTTAGAGTTAAAGTCGAAAAGTTAGTGAACTAACCAAATATCCAATAATGTCCAATTATTTAATTAACTATGACCATTTGTCTCCTTTTCTTTGATTGGTAAAAAATCAAGATGTGCTTGTGATAACAAATGTTCTTTATTTGGATATAATTGGAGCATTGAAGACAATTGGTTGAATGTCCAGTGTTTATTGAGGGTGAAAAATATTGAGATTAATAAAGATCAAAGTGAATGTAAGATGATAAATATCGGCACCCTCCTTATCTCCGTTTTGTAGATGCTACACCCTAGATGATTCTGCATCATTATTCTACGCACAATAACACACACACAGACATATGTATGCAGTGGCGGAGGCACCCTTTGGCAAGGGTGGGCTACAGCCCACTGTGGATTCAAAAAAAATTCTTCTAAATACTATAATTATATGTAATTAGCCCAACAAAATAATTTAATTTAGCTCATCCACCAAAAAAATATTTGGTCTTAGTTGAAGTTTATAAATTTTGTGCTACTTTATACGAATGAATCAAAAAAAAAAATCTCGGGGGCTCAGCCCCAAATCCCCGTAAATATTAAGTCTACTCTATCTCGAATTCCTGGCTCCACCACTCAGTGTATATTTGTTTAGTTGGTAGTTATTTGTATATAGATCTATAGTGCAAAATTACCCGGTGTTCTTCACCAGACCTACCTGATTTTCCCTTTTTATTATGATTGACAGTTAATTGCTAATCCATTCTAAGAAATTGTTTTTCTTATAAAATATGCTATAATGCATTATTGTTATAAATTATAAATCATAACTATGGATGCACTATGGTACAAGTATTATTGTTATTAATTCACATGAAACATACAACATTTCAGAACTAAAAAGACCTCAAATTACACGGTAAGTGTTAAGAGGATAAAATCTTCATGCGGCCCATAACTCAATTTACACAAAGGTCATTTAAAAGGGTAGAACAACAATACTGCATATTTAAAAAATTAAAAACAAAAAAAGTAAAAAAAAAAAAAAAAAAAAAAAAGAAAAAAAAAGCCGAAAACTCAATCAAATTCACCTCAAAACCAAAGAACACACAAATACAGAGAGGTGTACAGCGATAACCAAACTTTAAGAAAAGAGTACATTTACTTGCTCACTTGGAATCTGTAGGAGATTGTGCATGATTATCCAGATTCGAGCCTTGAGAAGACGTGAATAAGTTTGGGTACGAAAAATACGACTCATCATCAATCGGAGGCGATCTCGGAGGTTGGTGATTGTCTACACCCTGACCAAGTAAATTGTTGTTGCCTGGGCAAGAGGGTTCGACAGCCAATGGTGGATCGTAATGCGTACCGTTGTGCTTCGGAGAAGTCGAAGCACCGTCACAATCACTAACCGAGTTCTGTTTATCGAAATCGTCGTTCCTTTTCTTGACAAGCTCGCTGATTCGAAGCTGGGTAAGGCTCGCTGCTGCCCTGGCGCTCGCTGCGGCCCGTTCTGCTGAGTCAGCAGCTGCTTGAGCAGCAGCCAGTACATCTTGTAAATCCATGTCTTCGTTTCTGGTCTTTAAGACTGCGGGGTGTCGGTTTTGCTCTTTCACTGGATGAAGTGATGGGCTGGATATGAATGGCACAAACTGCTTCTCTTCTTCTTTATGAAATGGTTTCTTCTCCTGCAAGTTATCTTCAGGCTCCAAGTGTGAGAAATTCTTCGGTTCTTGTTCTTCTTCTTCTTCTTCATCGTCAATTTCGGATAGAGCAGAAGAAGGAAAATGCATCATTTCTGGTGCTGAAGCAGTGCCTCTATTTGTTGTTGACTGTTGCAATAACGGCTGCTTCGGGATTTCTTGGAAATCGATGATGTCGTAATCTGCATCAGAAGCAGCAGTGTTGTTGTCTTTTTCATCATGAGTGCCACCACGTTCTGATGTAGAGAATGTCGGCTCATCCAGATTCGAACCACTAACAAATTGAGATGGCCCATTCTGTAAAACAGAAACGAGACATGTATAAGCCTCGAAGAATAATAAATATAAAAAATCAAGATTCGGAAAGCAATGTAATTTATTACGAGTAAGTCTTCATGTGGCTTCAACAATTCACTTTCTGTAGCAGTCGGGTCCCACTCGAGTTCATGCTCTAAAGCAATTTCCTTTAGTAGCTTAAGTTTTACATCAGGTGCAGGGGCTCGAATGGATAAAAGCTCGATCAACTGCCAAAAAAAAAAATCAAATTTTACCGAAAAGGCTGTTTACAAAGTGTGCAAGAAAACAAATGGTCTCTATCTATTCTGACCTGGCGATTGACACCAGATTCAGGCATAAGCTCAGTCGCAGCGATGACGAATTCTTTACTGTATTTACCAGCAAACAGCATTTGTGCCTGTATCAACTCTGGCAGATCGGCACACCTTGGTGCCGCAAAGCATATACTGGAAATTGCCTCCTTTAAGTCGAGAGGGCATTCCCTAAAATATGTACAACAAGGAAAGGATTAGTTCGTAATATGAGTCGTAACTACAGAACAAACTACATCAAGTTTTTTAGGATATGTGGAGAGAATACTCGATACTTGAAGCATGTGAACTTGCTCATAGTATTTGTGGAAAAAATCAACATGCATCCAAATTGAGATGTGTTAAAATATACCCACACTATGAAAAGAAAACTCAATCACGTGTAATAGAAAAATAACTAGAAGGAATTAAGCACTGTCGTATGATCATCATGTATTGATCGAACAACGTTTGAGGAACACAAAATCGGGAAGTTAACGGTCTCGTGGAAAGGTACCATACTCTCCAAGCATAGTTCTCCACAAATATACAAATACAGATCACACACACACACACATACATATATATATATCATCCTTACAACCTAATTAATTATTTAATTATTATACCTTAAGACTAAAAACTGAAGATATTTGGATTTCGATCCTCTTAAAAATACAGTTTTGACCCTGCCACAGCATAACACATTAATCATTCGACATGGACTCAAGATGAAATATAAATTCCTTATTACATCCAAACTAAATGCTACAATCTATAATTGAAAGCCATTTCTCTTCCCACAGGAAAGTTTAACTTATTTCTTTCGGATTCATGTGATGATTTACTGGTGCATTATAATTTATTATCCAATTGTTTGCATATAACTACTATTACCTAAACTATCCATTACGAATGTGGTTTACACTCGATGCATTTGGAGTATCAACCAATGTAGTTAAAGTCCCGATTAAAATCCTAAAATCCTAGGATGTTACGATTTTATTAGCCTCTACCCTGTTAAATCCTAGTGGACTCTCGTCCCAAGCAAAATCCTACAAGTTCGGAAGTAAAATCCTGAAAAAAATTTCAAATCTACGTTTTACTGCAATGATGTTAGGACTTAAGACATTGTGTTAAAATATGTTTTATATATGTTCAGACATAAAATTTCGGAATGCTATTTAAATTTACAAGATATGTAAAATCCTACAATTTTACGATCCAATTTTAGGGTAACAATTTTATAGCCCCTTAGAATTCTAATTAAAATCTCGATTTTGACTACCCTTGGGATCAACATTGTCATTATGTCTTAATAGAATCCCTACCTGCCTCGATAGTGTGATATGTCAACCAAATTCACTTTCCCAGAAAAATGGGGGGACACGTTATTTGTTGATCAGCAGCATAACTTTGGAGATAAACGAATGGATAATCTTAATTTACCTAAGTAATACTTCTTTAGACAAATTTTTTTTTTAAACTCCTTATGTGCATCAATTTCTTCAGTATACAACTTTCACAAAGTAAACAAATATGAGTGACTTTAACCAGAAGCACTCAAGTGCTACCATATTCTGCAACAGCACCGAATGCAGGGACAACATACATGGGCTACGATGGACAGACACGACATGGCGGGGCAAGCACGGAAGATAGAAATTCTTAAAAAGTTTTAGGACACAACAAGGCTCTGACACGGCTTTCCTATATATATATATACACACACATATATATAGTATGTATGTATGTGTGCATGTACACTGCAAAGATTGTCAAGTAAAAAATAATCATTCGGCCAATACGTCGAAATTGAACTAGTGTGGTACATGGACAACAGTGTTGCCGAAAAATTAAGGAATAAAATATAGAGAATGGATTTTGATGAGGTAATGACATTTAATCTACTTCTTTTATTTTTAGGAATTCTATTTTTCTACTTTCATTACCATACCCTAGACTTTAAAACAATAAAATTAAAAAAAAATACCTAATGTGCTCGAAACATCTTTTACATGCCATCGACAATAGTATGTTTTTGATATGTGTTCATGCCTTTTCATGTCCGACACTGCACAAGGTCTTGTTTTTTCATTGTGTTCGTGCATTTTATTTTATGACCTACCTAGACGGGCATGTGTGTGTTTGAGAGTGAGCTAAAGAGAGAGAAAATCACTTGCAAAATGCTATGAGTAAAGTTAGCTATTCTACGTTTTCAAAAGAAAAAAAAAACAGAAGACAATTCCAAGTCCTTAGTCTAGAGTAGCACTAAATAGAAACCATCAGGAGATATGAGATATCATGAGCATATTTTGACGGCTCCAGGTTGCATTCCCATTTTGGGATAATTAGACAACATAAAATGCCAATTAAATCCGAAAATTGCTAAAAACCATCAATCAACACTAGAACCCATTATTAAGAATACTTGATCACTGTATATATAGTTAGTCAATACGCAGGACATGAAACGAATACCTTTGTATTTCAATGATCGGAAGGCGGACAACAACGAGTTCGCAAAAGAGCTCAACTATTTCTTGTGCAGCCATCATCTTCTCTTCTCGTATGATATGCTCTACCTGAACAACGAAAAACGATACTTCATAATCTACTATTAGACCACCAAAAAAGACGGACTTAAATCCTTTAATAACTCTTCAACGGCTTCCTAAAAATAAGCAGACGGATATGAATACTACAACGAAACGAACAGAGTGAATTATGAATGATAAAGAATACCCGAATTCGAGCAGTGGCTTCTTGACCAGTTTCAAGTAGCTTGGCAATTTCTCTACGCATCTGCCTTAGCTGCATCTCTCTTCGATTCCGCAGCAACTTAATCCGCGGGATTGTGAGTTTTAGCAAAGTTTTACTGTAAATCAGAGTTCAAAAATCACTGCACTATTTAAATTATTTACAAAATTGGGGACACAATCACAGAAACCAAAATCAGATTAAATCCGATTTGGGTAAACTTTTGCTGACAATTATCAATTTGAGAAAATCAGAATACGATCAGGAATTCAAGATCAAATTTGGAGTTCAGCAAACATGAATTTCTCAAACAACTACTGGGAAGAAGTTCAGCAAAGGTTACAATCATAAAACCCTAAAATTCATAATAAAACAGGATTTTTCCAAATAAAAATCGATCATCAATTAGAGAAAAAGAGAAGGGAAAAAGAGGATTACCATTTGGCAGCGTTGAAGCGCTGTTTGAAGATTGAATCGAGCACCGACATGGTGAAAAAATAACTCTGAGCTAAAAGTCTCCGATTTTCTGATTTGTTTTCGTGAGAGATGAATTTATGAAGATCGATGTTTATATGCACCTGCTCCACCACAAGCGAGTTGAATGGGTGGACCCGTTCGAGTTATTACGAGTTATGACTTTGTTAGCAAGACAGGTTTCTTAGCATGTAAGGATGTTTCGAGATCAAATTATTTTGACTAACCACTTTTTGTCATTTGAACAAAATTAATTTCCTTTTCACATTCACAAATATTAACTTCAATTTTTTTAGCATATTGGTACAAATTAATAAATAATTCTTCTAAATTTTTGGTAACAAAGACAATAAATTTAATGGTTACATCTTGTTCCGGGAGGTGGCCTATGTGACAGTCGTTCAATCTCGATCATCATCTCCACCAGTATCGGGTGATTGTAATTATAAATAATTATAAAATGGGGTACATAGTTCTTGAATCGTCATAAGAAACTCGTGCGATCTTATATATAAACGGGGATATGGATATGGTTGCGGTCTCTCCAACCTCTAGTCTCATGTACCTAGACGCGGATAGTTACAAGGGATGTACTAACCCAAGTAACCATGAATCGTCTGCCAAGTGAGACGCACCTCCCACTCGATTTCTTACATGCCTGATGCCACCTCATACACCGCGGTTGTTTCTCAACATATCCATGACACACAAATGCTGAAAATGTGAAAAGTACTCATATCCCCAAGAGTGCATAAATTTGTAAAATTAATTAAACGTAAGAAACATTGATGTAAGAAAAACTGACGATATAAATAATTATCAATAACAATATCAAACATCCACACTCACATAAAATAGTCGTTGAAAATCACATCTACGTATTTTCTTTAGCTACAGAATTTGAGGAAAAGATGATTGTGAATAGGTAAGTATTTCATAGTAGAGGACCATTGAATATAACTAAGTTCCGTAATCAAACTCTACTTGTACTCTCCACTGTATATTTTTCATGTGAGTATATTTATGTACCCAAGCTCCGTAACTAAGCTCTCGGTGTACTCTCCATTGTATATGTTTATTGTGCATACTTCTCTATCTAAGCTATGCAAGTAAGCTCTCTATGTGATGTGGTTCATGTAGTGTGTGTTGTGGTGAGCATCTATTTATATACTAATAATAGTTTGTCTAAGCTCTCTAAGTAAGCTCTCTGGTATCGTCAATCTAAGCTCCATGATTTAGTCAATTTAAGCCTTCTATATTCATGTATTGCTAAGTTCCAGACTCTCAAAATCTGTTGTTGACCAGCCTGCGTTATCTAGGATGCAACACAAGTAAGATTATTTGTTTAGCGCCCGTATAACCAAATAGAGGGCGACATATCTTTTTTAAACTAGAAAAAATAATTTTTGATGAAGGACTTAATTTCCCCTAATTATAAAATTAGTTAGAAGTATTTAGTAATGTTACAACCCCAGTTTACTTCTGAATAAACGAATCAATAAATAGAAAATAGTAGTTTCCCTCTATAACTTTTTTTTTACTAAGTATAAATAGAACCGACAAGACTCATGCTTGTAAACTCGAATTTGAAAATAAAATCTTACAAATGCATAAAGAAAAGAAATTTGTCATATGCACATCCTAGGGGTGGCAATTTGGATCCGGTTCCATGGATCCAATTAGATCCGGTTCGGTTCATAAGGATCCGGTTTAGATTAAGTTTAGTTGAAATAAATCGGATCCGATCCAGTTGATATTTTTTTAAAACTAGATCCATGTGGATCCACTTTGAATCCATTAAAAGTTTAACCACAAAATAAAGTGGATCATATTGGATCCAATCAAAACCCAATTAAATACCAAAACAATTTTCTCACAAAAAAAAGTCAAAATATTATTTTAATTAAAAGTGTATATGAGTGTGTGTGTGTGTGTGCGTAAAATAGTGTGTGTGTGTGTGTGTAACACAGTGTGTGTGTGTGCGTAAAATAGCGTGTGTGTGTGTAACACAGTGTGTGTGTGTGTGTGTAACACAGTGTGTGTGTGTAGAAATTGTGTGTGTATGCGTGTGTGTGTGTGCGTAAAATAGTGTGTGTGTGTGTGTGTGTGTGTGTGTGTGTGTGTGTGTGTGTGTGTGTATGAGTGTGTGTGTGTGCGTAAAATAATGTGTGTGTGTGTGTGTAGAAATTGTGTGTAATTGTGTGTGTATGCGTGTGTGTGTGTGTGTAAAACAGTGTGTGTGTGTGTGTGTGTAAAATAGTGTGTGTGTGTGTGTGTGTGTGTGTCTAGAAATTGTGTTGTGTGTGCATGCGTGAGTGTGTGTGTGTGTGTGTAAAACAGTGTGTGTATTTGAGTGTGTGTGTGTGTGTGTAAAACAGTGTGTGTATGTGAGTGTGTGTGTGTGAAACAGTGTGTGTGTATATGTAAAACAGAGTGTGTGTGTGTGTAAAACGGTGTGTGTGTGTGTGTAAAACAATGTATGTGTGTGCAAAACAGAGTGTTTGTGTGTGTGTGTGTGTGTAAAACGGGCTGTGTGTGTTAAACAGTTGTGTATGTGTGTGAGAGTGTGTATGAAAAGTGTGTGTGATAATGTGTGAGTTTGAAAGTTTTTATATTAATTATTAAACCACATAAATTGAGATATTAAATCCTAAAAGTTGAGATATTAAACTACATAAATTGAGATATTAAATCCTAAAAGTTGAGATATTCAACCTCATAAGTTGAATTAAAAATGAAATGGATCCATTTGGATCCAATCCGGATCGGTCTAAATTCGATCCACATTAAATCTATTCATATAGGTTGATATTGGATCCGGATCCTTTTGAATCCGATCCACATGGATCCGGATCGGATCCGGTCCAAGTTGAGAAATTGCCACCCCTAGCACATCCCCTAGTATATATAGTTGTCCATATATAGCAAGGACAATACTTCAAAATCCAACATATGTACACATTCTTACCAACATAATTGATCACTCAATAACTGCACAAGAACTACAAACCACATGAACAACCTACAAAATGACCATATGAAAACAACCGAAATCCAAAAGCGATACAAACGTGTTCGATAGAATATACATTGGCTAGATAAAAGCAAAATATGCACACTAAGGTTGTCTCCACACACACTAATCATCGGACTCTTGCTGAAGCTTCAACAACCTGTCGCTCGACCTAGAGGCTCACCTAAGATCGAATTCACATGCAATGCAGAACTATATGAGCTAACGCCCAATAAGCAAACATTCGTGCATAAACGTGAATGTTATTATGCGACTGATGTACCATGCTACGACACAAAAATCTTGCAACCTTTCATTGTGTTCTCTATACAACTCTTGCAACCACTGTAGGCACGGTTCCCTAGGAGTTACGGCCCACTCATGTATGTGTAGAGGCATCAACCACTGTAAGCACGCGGGACTATCTATCAATACCCTCGGTACACAGAAAATAGCCAATCTAATTTCAACTCATTTGACATCTTTTTTCTTTTTTTCCTGACACTAATATGAGATGTTATGGTCATTTTACGACAACAATCCAACAATACTTATGATCGTGAATATGCCCATAAGTACAACAGTCATCAATAACGTAAACTCAATGCTCGAGAATCACAGAATTTTAAACACCACATATTCACACGAGCAAAGCACCGCTCAAACACACTTATAATTATACCAACAATAATTGTAGCAATTAAAGCAAGCAATACTAGTTAGGTTTTGCACTTAATCGAATAAGGCTTTGATAAACAAAGAGTTTTGGATCACTATTCTACTCCCTTAATACACCCCTAAAATTCCTTTGATTTTCCTTAGCTATGAAGTAATGGATTACTGATTCATTTCATACAAATGCACTGTATTCACACATAAAAGATTAAATAAATCCAAGCAATACAATTCGGCTAGTGGCTTACTACTACATACTAGAATATTATAATCTCATTTTAATAATTAACTTCACACTTGGTGATAAATGCATCAACATTTTTGCCTAGTTAATTACCTGTTGCCATCACACAATTGATAGCTAAGGGATATTTATTAATCATTTAACAATTGCTCTACGGCTCTCTTATGATTTACAAACTATTATACGAGCATATAGGTTTACCCAGCGCACCTATATAGCTGGCTGCGGATTCATTCAAAAAAAGGGTAAATTACAAACACCCCCTCTTATTTAGATAATTACATCTACCCCCTCAACTATGATTTTTTCTTACACCTCCACCTTTATGGTGCCAAATTCAACATAGTCATCTAGATTCCGTGAAATGTGCTCTAGTTTGTACTCGTTTTGTGTAAAAAATACAGTTTCCGATGCACCATAAATTGATATATACAAGCTAAAAATCACATATAATGATCATCTTGCTTCATAATGTAGAGTTTGAATGGGATAAAACGGGTACAAAAGTGATAATATTCCATATAATCTCGAAGATTCCACTAAATTTGAGGAGTTGAGGGGGTGGTTGTAATTATCCAAACAAGAGGAGTGTTTTTGTAATTTGACCATACCTCAGGGGTGTTTGTAATTTAACCTTCAAAAAAAAAATTTATACAGTACTTGCTCATAAAGGTAATCTAGTTGGTAGATCAAGAATCAAGATCACACCGAATCAAATAACCGGAGTTCAAATTCTATTACCGACACTTTCTTGGTCGATTTGATTACTCATGAGTTGTATCTAGTTGTGTTCACATCTCCCGTGTAATTTGCAAGCTATTGCACGAAAGTAGAAGTTTACATAGTGCACATATATAGTAGTTGTCTACGATTTGCACATATATTTGAATTCCTTCATGCTTCCCAGCCATGCTTTTCATCGCAGCAAGATAAAGAATTGGCAATTAGGATAACATGCCAGAAAATATATTAAACATCATTTAAACAACACACAACACATTGTGATCATCTATCATCGAGAACTTGTTCGTTGCTTCATTTCCAGGGTAAGAAGAGTCCACCCTCCTCACTCTACATTTTATTCATATTTCGGAAAAATATAAATGAATTGATTACATATTCTGAACTAATTTTACACGGGGATTTAGCATGAAGCCGCTCAAGAAAGGAAGCCTTCGCATGCTACACTTTTTCTTCCCTCCCATATAATTTTACACTAAACATTCTCGAATTAATTTAAGTTGACCAACATCCATACATTTTACTCGTATATAATATAAATTTGCTTACAAGGAATACCAGATTCGACCGCAATCCCACATCGGTAAAAAGCTGCAACCATATGTCAATCAATGTAGCACCTCTCTCAGCTCATCTATCAATTGATCTCTTATTGAAGGATCCGCCTGCAATGTGAACCACTTCGTTTTTCAGTTATTATTTTAAAAAAATGGCTATACACAAAAATATATGATTATATGTTTCGAGAAAAAAAAAACTGTGTTTTACCTTTTCCAACAAAGCAGCAAGAGCTTGAGGTAGTGCTCGTAAATCCATTGTCGAATTCCCAAGGCTGGAAAACTGAAACAACATTCTTTGCACACGAAGCTCATGTAGCTTCTCCTCGTAGTTTCTAGAATCTTCTCTCCACGAGAAAAAAGCTTCATCGTCCGCCCACGAACTTTCTTCACCTCCACCAATTTCCGAGTTCAAGAACCACTGCTTAATCGTATCGCGTGCGGATTTGTAGTCAAATTGCTGACCGGCCGCATCTCTCAGGGTCTTGACCAATCCATCCTCGACAACTCTCCTATACAATCTTTTGTAGAAAAAATTCCGAGAATTTTGCCATTCCACAACTTCTTTGATCACCCCTTTTGCAGCCATTCTAAGCGAAGTATCGTGCAGCTCCCCAAATTTCGTAGCTATCTGAGTGTACAAAGGCAGAAGTTTCTTTTCGCGGGCTTTTATTTTCCTCTGCAGATCTTCCCCATTTGGAGAGTCCTTAAGTTTGGACTTGAGATTGATTAGCTCGGGATCGAGCCTACCCATACACTCAAGCAATTCTCTATTTCGAAACTTAATCTCGATCAATCCTTCAGGCTCGAGTACATTACCCTTAGCCGTTTTCTCCGCGTACATCTCGACATGATCAGGATTAATCTTACTGTCCACAACCACCCAGGCACCACCACGAAGCTCTCCCATCATAGGTATGTATATGAAAACGGGCTGCCCGTAAGTCCGAAGATTCTCCACAATAGTCGAACCTGCCTGTAAAATACCTTCAAAGAGGTCCCTCTGCCCACCCGAAAACCCCCTCCAATTGGCTAGAATGAATAAGGGCAGCCCCTCCATGTTGAAATCCATCAACGCTTGAGCAGTCTTCGTCGCCGAATCAGGAAACCACACCTGTCCCGCTTGAGGAACGACCCTCTCGTGCGAATCCAGCTGGCCGGGGTCCGCAGGTATCACCTGCATCATAGTTTGAGTTTCGACTGCAACAATTCCAACGGGGATTCCACCTAGCTTCGCCCTGCCCGTAACAACCGTTCTTGCCCAGCCTTCCAAGGTCTCGATGAAGCTGTCTCTATCGAACATACCCCCAAGCCATTTTCCGTGACCATCAACGGAACCACATATGGCTGCGCGTGGATCACACGAAGTCTCGGGCAGATACTCGACTGCCCGTTCGGGCGGGTCCAACGGCCTCAAAACAGGGAGGGGACCACCGGAGTACGGTGGAACGAAGCTCAACCACTTCAAAATGGCTGAAATACCCTCGAGATCATCCGAGACGGTTAGATGAACGACCCCATTCGTGGCCATGATTTTAGGCCCACCGAGCTGCATGTGCGAACTGTACACCTCACGGCCGAGGAGTTTGTTCAGAGCGGAGAAACCAGTTAGAATAATCGGCTGATCGAGCCTCTGTATGCACCGCATACCGAGACGAGCGAGATAAGCACCGATGCCAACGGTTCTTCCGGTCACGTAAGTCACGGTGAACGTTTCGTGGTATGCCTTCGAATAGGCACTAGCAATGGCACCACTGCCTGTTAAACTTTCAACGCCTAGACCATCCTCTTTCCCCACAATAGTATCGATCACCCATCGGATTTCTCCGCTTGAGAGCTTCAGCTCGTGCGCTATCACGGAAGCTTCTATGCGTGTGTAGTCCTCCGGAGTTAAGTAGACGTATTGGAAACCGCGCTCTGGGTTCGTTTCGTCGGACCAGCCAACCTTAAAGCAGGATTTGACTTCCTCGGCCACGCCTATGCGGGCACCAGAATTGGCTGCCAGGTAGATTAGAGGCAGTTTCTCTGCACAAGCAACATTGGTAACAGCCTGGAAGAAGGCGTCCTCTCTTGGACCGAACGAACCGTTTTTGAAGGTTACATCGTTCGATACTACGAAAATTGTCCGGCCGGAAGGGAATTCGGGCGTGGACATTTCGATTCGCCATGCCACCATGCCAATGTCGTTAAGTCCAGGCTGGCGTTCGATGGGAATAAGAGGAGTGCCCCAATTGCCTTTCTTGTCTGCAAAGATTAACTCCGTGACTCGGAGTATTGGCTTATCTTTAGGCTTGGTGATTCCGGAATGTGGGGTCCATGATTTGTTCAGAGCCGCCTCGAATGCCTGTAAGGAGAGAAATCTTAGACATATACAGATGTGTGCTTTGATCTCAAATCTGCAATGGTGTAAATGGAAAAGGTCTATATACATACCAGTGGGAAATCGTAGCAATAAGTTGTGCTGCTTCTACGGGCGAGCAGACGCTTTCGATCAAGAACTCCCAAAGGATTATATTGTGAATTCACGGGTAATCCATGCAAAGGGGAGTCGTTGGAGGTGGAACTGTAGACTACTGTCTCTTTGGTGGAATCCTCAATTTCTCTATAGATCTGAAAGTTAGAATGCAAACAACTATTATATTCACATACCTGTACCAATTAAAATTTCAAATTCGTACGTATAATAGAACTGGCACTTTAATAGCTCCAAACGTATTGACTGCACTAAAGAACAGGTCTCCATACAATTGAAGATTGCTTTTTTCAAGAAAGTGTCACGGCCCAACCATCATAACAGGGATTAAAAGCTATATTCCATGATAACTTTTAACTACATTTGCATCAATTCCATGATAAAAGCTATATGCCAGAATCCCATGACCCGTAATTTGATTAGACTTATATGGTTTATACTCAGCGGGGGACCGACTTTACACAAGGACATCCTATCATTATTTATGAGCCTGCAATATGCTTACCTTTCTATTACCAGTTACATGATAAAGGTTTACTATAATTTCAAACTAGAATACAATTAATGTTCTAAGATCCTATATACCGACATTGTTTTTTGCATTTCTCCCAATCGAATTAACTTATCATGAGAGGATAATGCAAAATGAAACCCTACTTACGTGAACAATGCAAGTATGACCAGTCACATTTTTCACCGCAACTCTCCAAGCTCCATTAGCATTTCCTTCAGACGATATCCAAAGCTTAATTTCCCACTCGCAAACTCCTAAACGATGCATTCTAACACCAACTGATGCATTAATTTCACGTGCCATCTCATCAAGAATTTTCTCAACTGTAGCTTCCTCGTCGCCACTAGATACATCCACTCTTCTGGAAAATGATACAAAAATAGGAAAAGAAACATTTGGGTCATAATAACAAAAACTAACTGCAAAAGAACAAACATACTCAGGAATCAAAATAATCTTACTGGTTGTATGGCAAAAGATCATTTATTTGTTGCTCCCTCAAGATATACAGGTACATATGAGCATGGTCAGATTTAGTGGCAGAATTATGGGCATTGAGTTCAAGCTCCTCCAGTGCGGACATTAAAGACCTCAAAATGCTCCTTGAAGTGAAGGATAGGGTCCACAAAGACCGACTCTCCCCTTGATCTACCTGATATACAGTCAGACCTTCATTTGAAATAGGCTGTCTCACAAATGTCCTAAGAAACATCCTCTGGACAGGAAGTAGCTTATCTACAACTGTATAAAGGTGCCACTGACGATCCCGGGAAGGAGTATACCGTATATTTTCGTAATCTTTTAGTTTGTCCTGTCGAAAGCAAATTTTAAGGGTAAGTTAAAATTTTAACAAAATACATATACTTTACCAAAGCGAAAAGACCAAGTATGTACGAACCAGCTCAAGATATATGGATAGAGGTGGTTCCAAGTGACGCAATAGAGGTTGTTCCACGTAGTAAAGTTTTTCTGTCGACCAATGGAAAGAGTGCCTTATTGGGCCGCGGCCTTCATCTCTCTGTATAATACAACTAACGACCCCTACTCCAGCATTTCTAAGACTGGAGCTTACTTCTTTCTCCTTCAATATTTTCGCCAGCTTATCTACTCTCTCTTGAGCCTGATCCTCATCACCACTGCAGAGAAGCATAAAATAATAAGGGGGAAAGAGAAGAAAACGAAAGCAGCACCTAGTCAACTGATTATCAAAGTCAAAATCTAAATGAAACAAATTAATCTTTATGACTTGATAAATGCATGTTAGAGAAATTTAGTGATACCAATAAATGGCACCAGAAATAGCTTTATATCCTCCATTACACTATTTCATTTCACCTCATACTTCACCAGATGTGTTAACTATGTAATGCTCTATATATACCATAAGACATCATTCTTCTGTACAGAAGTCAACTTTATCATTTTTTACACTTCAACACGGTTTTGATACTGCTACAAGGCTGAAAATACATAAAAAGGCAAAACTCCAAACAGCCGAATAAGAGATGAAAGACAACTAAAGATCACAGAAAATAGAAACTGATCTTGGTGGAAAATTCCTTTGGAAAAATTCAATGTAGTAACTATCTTCCTCTTAAAAAAACTAAACTATTAAAAAGAAAATAACTAAAAAATATAAGTAAAATAACCCCTCTCGTATATGTTACCTATCCTGAAGTAAACTCATTTGGTTGTTGATTCCTGCCAAGGCAATGTGCATCATATTACCACTAGTAGCTGGATGTATAGATTGATCTGGAACTACAGCTTGCCAGTTATTTGTTGCTTCTCTTAGTGCAGCAGCTACAACTGTAGGCAAGAAATGAAGAGACTTAATGACAACCATTGCTCCCCACTTCCCCTCATTCCGCTTTGAGAACTCATCTTCAGATCTATTGTTTCTCTGTACATGCTCGTCCAAGAATTGCCATGATGCTATAAGTCCAGATCTGTGCCACTGCATCCTCACACTTCCCTTTACGAGATAGGGCTGATGAAAATACTAATCATTAGCATGAGAAGCCCACACAGATATAGTTGGCAGATAACTTTCAAGACCTTGAAAATAGTACCTGATATAATCTCCGCACATAAGTCTCAACAACCCTTCTTTGAAGTGTGTGATCACTGTGGTCGAAAAGACCAACAAGTGCATCTTCAACTGCCAAAGGAGCATCCACAAGAGCTTCCATTCGTTCATTTATTGCACTTTTTCTCTTAGGTGTATCCATGTTCTCACCTTCTTCGGTAAACATTTCTAGCTCTGAAAGACTTCTTGCGATGCTCGAACGAAGCTCGCTGAGTTTTGTCTGCTCCAGCAGTTGACTTGCCTTCAATGCTAACTGCATAAATACAGCAAGGATGAGACCATGGGTTCAGAGAAGTACATATAACAGAAAACAAACACTTTTGGATTTTTTGTGGTTTGGAGACCAAAGGAAACAGATATTTTTAGCAAAATGTCAGTGTCAAAACTTCTCAGTGACCCAACATAAGATAGAGAACAGTTGGGCCTCGTTTGGTCGTCAAGATATGAGTAGCCAAGACAAGATTACACAATCTTATGAGAACAAAATTGTGTAATTGGACTACAGGAGGTCCAATACACAAATTCCCCAATAAACCAAGATTCAGATTCATTCTTCCAACAATTCTGTGTCGGCCCGAAGAGTTTTGGAAAACAAACATCAAATAAGGTCCAATTGTTTAATTAATCATGGCAGATTTTACCAACCAAACGAGGCCTTAAAAGATGTCATATGTTCAGGAGAAAAATAAATGAGTGGAATCGCGTCGTACCTCAGAGTAATTTGTATGATTGAGTGTAGAAAATCGGATAAGTTGATCACGGTACGCAGCAGGATTAGGATACACAAGTTGTTCCAGAAGACGTAGTATCAGCTTATTTTTACTTCTGATGCCCTAACATATAAGAAAATTTATAAAAGTAAGCGTCATCAATAGAATAGTAATAATAAAAGGAGTCCACACGCACATAATCAATTTTGCTGTACCTGACGGGAGAGTACAATGTCCACAATCTTGAGGAGATCTTTCTTATATTGAAGTCTTAACCGTTCGATTACATCAGCCTGAAAAGGAGAAGATACTTCAACGGCATTTCCAAATAATAAATTAAACCACAGCATTTATATTTCCATGGCTTTTCATGGGGTTTTCTCCTGGTTTTTACCAGAAAGTGAGGATGCAGTAGTAACATACATATTAGAAGCTTCTTTTAGTGTCTTCATGTGTATTACCTGTATATTATCACTAAATAATTCTTCAACAGATAAATATTCTTCAAAAAGTCCCTGAACTATGATGCGAGCATGGCTTTCTCTTCCACGCTCATAAGACTTGACAAGACTTGTCAGAGGCTCAACCAGTCTTTCTTGGGCACCTCTTTCTTTGTCAGGACAGTAGTTTAAGTGGGCCTGAAGCATTAAAGAAACATGTGTATAGACCAAGTCATCATAAGAATAAAAAGAAGAGCTGAAGACTCATCTCACGAACCAGTATAAAAGACTAACCTCAAGAATACGACGTAAAATTTTCGCAGGGAACTCAACAATCTGCCTGTTTGCAATTCCCTCAAACTCCTTATATCTTGTTTCCAACTGATATGAACACAAAAAAATAAAAACATACTTAATGAAACAATTGAGCAGACTGCCTACAAAATAAACAAATTAGCTTTCGTCTTATTACCTCATATCGAAGGTCCTTCGGTAGTCTGTTCGCCAGAACTGCAAAGCACTCTTGCCACTGAAGGAAAGGGAGCTCAGGATTGTCCAAGCAACTGAGCAAGTTTTGAACTACCTGAAATATAAAATTCAGTCTCTCTACTAAGAGACTTGTTTTGACAAAGGCAATTGCCATAGGCATGTATACACACAGCCAAACAATCATTAGGAAAGCAAACATAGCTGCAGTTTTACATTTCAAAAATATATATATACACACACACACACACCAGTCTTTTTCTTAATTCATCTATCAAGTTATTTTTTAACGAACACATTATGGGTGCTTCAAGTTGTGGTAGTTCAGAAGTCATTAAAAATTTTTTGCAATCTGAAAAAAGACAGAATAATATTTACTTCATCAATGTTATGCTCGTATCCAGCAAGAATCATTCGAGCAGCATTCAAACTTGCAGCACACCGTTGATGAACTTTTCCAGATATGGCTGTTGGAGGTCCCAGAATGGGGAAGCTACCATGAAAGGGTTCTGCTTTTCTTACAGCTGAAGGATCGTCTAAGTCAAGTCTTGCTATAAGCTCCCCAGCCTACAAAATATATTGCAGACTTAGTTTTTTTGATAAGAACATATGCCATATTTAAACAAGTTAATTACCTGCATTGCTTGACCTTCAGACATGTTAAAATGAATCTTTCCAGAAGAAGGTGAAAGAAGAGGCATACACATCTTCATGACCTCCACTTCCGCATAAGGTGTGTCAGCATCAACATGGCTGCCATCTGCAACCAGATACCTGAGTAGCTTGCACGGTGTTTCTGCCATCAACTTGGATGGATCATGATCATTCTGGATATAGTTAAATGATTAAATATTTATTCGTAGGATTGACTGATGTATCAGTCAGTAGACGAGCTAATCAAACCTTCAGCTAACAAATCTTTACAAAAAAATTAAAAAAACAGATATTCTAATGGATTCAAAAGATAAAAACGAACTGACTAGATGAAAATACAAGAAATTCTCAGATAAAGAAGAAAGAAATTGCACCTGAAGCAAACAAGTTCTTCCATCAATAAGAAGGCGCGTGCCTGCTGCTTCCTCTTCTGCATATAAAACATGACTGTTTCCATCCAGCTGTAAACAACACATCAACCAATCTTACATTTAGAATGTATTGAACTTGATTAGATGATGGAATAGCAATACAATCAATTATCAACCATAAGCAATAAGTATCAAAATCTTAGTGTGCATAAGAAAATACTAGACAGGTTAACTGCTTACCTGCATTAATAGACCTCCGTCACGTAGAGTATGTATTTCTGCTTCAATCTCCGAATCATTCATCCTCAATCTATAGCTTCCGGGGCCTCCTCTTGCCATATTTATCTAAAGAAGACAAAATTATTGGAAAACCGTTAAAACTAAACATAGGATCCGACCCCCACCTCCATCCAACCCCCACAACTCACTCCTCATCAGAGCACCAAGAAATAAGTCTTACAGTTCTACATTTTTAGACTTACTGTATATTTGCTTCCTTCGATATTCAGTGAAACTAAAGAATTGACCAGTGAAATATGCTGCAAGTGAGAAATGTCAATTAATTGACGAGTGGCAGAAAAAAGAACTAATTTCAGATAATATGTACGATGAAATACCTTGGGAGGAATCTGTCCCTTTTCAAGATAACCAACATATTCTGAAACCATCGCTGCACTACTAGCAGAAGCTTTCTGATTTGACAATGTGAAGATAATAATATCAATACAGGAGAAGTTGATAATTTTATGATGTTAAAAGTGTTTGTGTGGCGATTAAAAGGAAGATGTTAGGAGCATAACAATAATACTATACTCACATAAAGAGCTCCTCCAACCACAGAAAGATACCAAGGGGGCCTTTCTGCTCTGACCCTCATCGCGATTCTGCTATCTAGCCACCCTGTGTGGATTTTGTTATCCTTGTAATCTAAAGCCTGCAGAGATGTTTGATTAATATTAACCCTCTTTTTATCACATAAACATGAATGAAATCTGATGTCTCACATGTAAGAGATCAACTGTGTAATCAACATTTGTGTGGATTTCTCCTCTAATTTGAATTTCTTTGAGCCCAAGAACCATATTTGCGATGGCCAAAGCTCGGGATTCTCCAAAGGCGAACACGTGTCCTGAGGTAAGAAGATAAAATATTGATTGAAGGAATTTGTACTTCATATGGATCACATTTACTGAAAGAAAAAGATAAAAGCAAAAAAGTCTGGTGAGCTTAAACAAGTTAGCCGAACCATGACCTCAGTTGAAACAGGAATACACATACATATAAACAAAATCAAATATATAGCGTAACTGAGGGATGTGAAAACCATATAAGAACTGACACAATCACACAACTCCATCTCGATGAATTATAGATCTCACCTTAAGTATATGACTTGATATACCTAAACAAGTTGTATAGCAATTTGTTAAGGATCCAATCCTACCTTATAGTCTAAAGGGAGGAGAAAATCCCATTATATAAGTTGGACAGGATTCTGACACAGATACCACTACTTCTCGAGATCAAAATTGGTTACAGACTATATATATTGGAGGTAAGATAGAAAATTAGTTTTCTAATAAATACGTTGATGTCTTTTTCTAGTACAATGTTTAGACTAATTACATACTCCTCTCGCTGACTGATAATGGCTTTGATCAGACAAACAAATCTTTGTAAGGAATTTTAGTCAACAAAAAAGGGTACAAAGTATAGAACATCACTTGTCATAGGACCTTTTAGAAGCCCCAGGTATTGTGTGCATACACCAACTCTAAATCATCACTAAGTAGGCTATCACTTGTGGAAGGTTTGTAGCCCAGCATTTAAATTCTTTTACATAATAATATGCCAAAATTTCATTTACAATATCAAGATCATGAAGGTTGCAAATGCTGAGAATAGAGAAAAATGTTGTTGATAATTTGCTGATGTATAGTGCTTCAAAGTGTTTGAGAAAGCAACTATATGGATAAGTTACATATATTCTATACGTCCCCAATTGCAATAAGAAAAACTTACCAAATTGGGAATCTGAAAATTCATGAATACCTCCTCCAGACTGTAGTCATAAAGATGATAATCAGAAGCAGTTTTGAATGTAAAAATTCCTTGTAAAGTAAATTATCAATACGTACCTTGACCGAGAAGTACGCCCACACATTTGGCTTACTTTTGAAACTCAGCTCCTGTTGGGAGTTATTTAAACAGATTAAAAAATCTATAAGATGCAATTCATAAAAAAAGAAGTTCAAACTTTTCATTCTGAGAAATTTTGACCTGCACTCTTCCACTTGTTGGCTTAAAACCATCATCAGGATCTTCACTGGTCACACGAACTGCTACACAATGACCTTTTGGCTTTGTTGACTCTGCCTTGTCAAAATCAAATGGTGTAGCACCAATAGACGTTTTCCTCCAAGCATCGTATCCTCCACCATGTTCCATTCCATAAAATCTCCGTATCTCTGATTTTCCCAGAACAAGAAATGTAATCAAAATTTTCTATCAGCAGAAAAAGGTTCTGATTTTTGTCAGAACAAGAAAAAGCTATCAAAAGAATCAATTGGCAGAAAAAAATTCTGATGATAAAAATCGTGTAACAGACCTGGAATTTGCCACAGAGGGATACCCATTCCAACTGCAACTTGTGCTGCAGGAAGATTTATCTCAGCTATCCACTCCGTAACAGGGTGCTCCACCTGAATTATCACAATAAGATGAAATTAGAAGCAAGCATCGAGTAATTGTAGCCTCATAAACTTCAGAACTGTACAACTGTTAATTTTTTTTATCTGTCTAAAAGATAAAATTTAAACAAGGGTTAGGTTTCTAAGCTTGATAAAAATAAAATGTCTTCATTAAAACCTGTAGCCGTGGATTTAGCTCCAAAAAGTAATATTCCCCAGTTTCCATACTGTATAAATACTCCACGGTTGCAGCTCCAATGTAATTTACACTTTTGGCCAACCTTCTAGCAGCCTGCTCAAGTTTCTTTGTTGTCTCGATGGGAGCAACAGTAATTGGGCCCTCCTCAATAATCTAATTAGCGTAAATGTTGACAAATATCAGTAACAAGTTTCAAGAAAAAATGAATGGGCTTTAGCTAAAAAGTGGAAAAAGTTGAATGATGCTTAGCAAAAGAAACAATAGCAACAACAACAATAATAATAATAACAATGACAACGGTAACAATAAAAGATAAACTGGAAGAACGAGCATGCGTCATATCACGCCTGTGTTATGCATGAGCAAACCTTATATCATGCATCTGTAATTTATCATTAAAATGCTAAAGCAATGTCGTAACTAACTTTTTGATGTCTTCTTTGCACACTGCAATCGCGGCTGTGCAAAGCTGCAACATTTCCATATTGATCACAGAGTAGTTGGACTTCAAGATGTCGGCTCTGAGGAACACAAACAGTATTGGTGTTAGAATGAGATCTTAGTTCTTTATTCATTGCATTATAAGATAAAAGTGAAGTATCCTAACCTGGGAAGCAACTTTCATTATAAATATGGGGGATCCTGGAACTTCACCTTGAACTTGCTTGAACAAAGCCTTGACCTCGTCGTCATTATGGACCTATAATTTTCCAATGAGGTAATAAATATTTGTCTAATCATTAGCAGAAACTATTTTTGCCACTCACATGACAAACAATACAGTTCAGTAGAACAAAACGTCAAATAAAATTCCATATATATATATATATATATATATATATATATATATATATATATATATATATATATATATATATATATATATATATATATATATATATATATATATATATATATATATATATATATATATATATATATATATATATATATATATATATATATATATATATATGTGTGTGTGTGTGTGTGTGCATATATGATGAGAACAGACCTTTCTTATGCCTTTGCCACCTCCACCCCAAGATGCCTTGATCATTGCAGGATAACCCACAACTTGACAGCTGGCAATGGCTTCTTCTGTTGTATGAACACATGCTTCTTGATATATGTCATCAGGGATAGTGACTAAAGAGCTTTCTGGAGGAATTTTCACCTAAAAAAAAAATTGTACGTATTTAGACGATAGAAAACCTTAAAGAAAACAAAGTAGCAATAGGTTCATAATTAAATACACTTTACATGAGAGCCGCTCCATGGAAGAGTAGGCACTTCTGCAGCTTGTGCAATCAACGACGACCCAATTTTATCTCCCAATGCCGCCATCGATGCAGCTGGTGGCCCCAGAAATATGATTCCTTTCTCACCTAAAGCATCAGGTAACTCGGGATTTTCAGACGCATGACCCCAACCAGGCCACACAGCATCAACATGCGTCATCTCTGCCATCTGGACAACAAACAAACGTATTACTTACCATCTTTTTTTCTCTCACTTACTGTATGTGTGTGTGTAATATTTATAATGCAGTGATCTAGATTCATATTGACTTTGATATCTATCTTTTGTACCTAATCATTTCATTATGCAACAGAAGATACTAACTGTGATCTCCTCCGCAAATTGTTTTCCAAATTATTCTTCAAATTGATGCATTAAATTTACAAGTTATGCAGGAAAAAAGTAACAAAGCCACGAGCAATAATAGTACATCGACGAACCTCAACAATGAGCTGCACATTAGCGTAGTTATTATTGTTAGTCCCACCAGGTACTTCGACAAATTGATCAGCTATCCTTATATGCTCTGCATTTATTCTCATGTCCTCAGGGGTAGCCATTGCCACCAACAGAATTGCCTTTTCTGTACCGAATGTTTCGTAAGCCCACGTTCTAACGCTGCGTATAAACTTGACAGCTGCCATTCCATTGTTGGCAATCAAGATACTATGAATTGACCTTTTCCCACCGAGAGTGTGACAGAACTCATCCACCTCTGGTATCAAAACGGGGGACCTCAATGGAACAGCTCCACCATTTATGTACCCGTTAGTGGGTCTTATACCCACTGCCATCAGCCTCCTTTGAGCTTCAGACATATTGTCTTGCCTGAAAAGGAACAGCATTTTTCAAAACATCAATATCTAATAATATAAATATTTCCAAAATATTTGTCTCGCGAGTCCGTTACAGCTACATTTTGTGCAAATTTTTAAAAATCTTGCCATTTAAACCCCGGTTTGGCCAAACGAAATGACAACCATCGTAAGGAAACCGAATACGTTGTATCGTGGAAAGCAACACAAAAGGGCATAAATCGTGACAACTTTACGAGATGCAATAATTTGTTCAACAATGAAAAGGAACGGCATTTTTCACAAAATTAATATATAGTAATTTCAGTATTTCCAAAATATCCGTCTCGCTTCGACTTAAACGGTAAGTCCGTTACAACTACACTTTCGCGATGATCTTTAAAAATCTTGCTATTTAAACCCCGGTTTTGCCGAATGAAATGAAAACCATTGTAAAGAAACCAATTAAGGTAAATCATGTAAAACAATACAAAAGGCCAAAACCTGGCACTTTATGGAGATGCAATAATTTGTTCAACAATGATTGCATAAATCAGGGAGTTAGTCAACTAACTCGCTTTCCTTCCGAAGATCAGCACAAAATACTCAAAACCGAAGTAATCATAAACATTTCCAAGCCTAAATTAACTATAATATATATAAGGACAACTCTGCGTGTGTGTGTGTGTGTGTGTGTGTGTGAGGACAACTAGACAAAAGATTCACAGATACTGCTAAAAACGATCAATCAACGAAAAAAACAAGCGAATTCAATTCCAAAAAAAATGAAGTTTAAAATCTCAATCAACTGAAAACATTCAGAATTGCAGCTCAAATGCCCAAAAAAGAAAAAAAAAGAAAAAAAAAAACTGAAAAACAATTTTCCAGTTGAATTCCGCCAAAATCCAAATCAAAAAATCAATTTAAATTCACTCAAATTGCAGCTCAAAATGCCCAAAATAGAACAAACAAACTGAATAAAAAAAAAAAAAAAAAAGTGAACAGCAGCACCAAAAAAAAAAAAAAAAAAAAAATCGGCGGATGATTGACGGCGCACAACTAACCTTCAAACAATGGAGGAAAAAAAAAAGTCTGAAGAAACAAAAAAAAAAACGAAAACGAAAACTCTTCCTTCTTCAACCGGATTGGCTCTTCTTCTGAAACACTATTATACAAATTCCAATGGCGAACATGCAAAGATTGATTCTTCTTCAGTAGCAGGAGGGAAGTAGATGCGGGGTGTGTTTTATTAACATTTAAGAGATTATTATTTTAATTTATTTTCGGTTTGGGGTTTGGTTTGGAGGACTCGAACAATAAATACAAGAATTATGAGGGGCCTGTAAATTAAATCCCAGCACGTGGTACCCGCCTAGTGTTGCGTTGTAGCAATTCGGTTCACAACCCCCATCTACTTTGTGCTTCAAAATTCAATTTAGGTGGGGTTAGTAATTTATTTTATTTTTATTTTATTTTAGCTGTTTATTCATACCACGCTATAATGAAATACACCGCGTACATTTAAATTATTTCATTCATCTATAATTTTTTTTAAATAAAAAATTGAGCTATTCTTTTTTTTTTAGGTAAACTACGGCTACCCCAGAGATAAAGGCAAATTAAAAAAAAAAATACTTATTATGTTTGAGTATTTACAACCACCCTTCAACTATAAATTTTCTTCATGTTTATTTTTATGATGTCTAATTAAATGTACTGAAATGTTAAATCGACACTAAAATTATTGAATCACGCACATAAAATTATTTGGGGGTGTGGTTTAGGGTTTTTCTTTCTTTTAATTATTTGTTTAATTAACGTTAACAATTATTTTGATGATGCTAAATAAATGGTAATTATTGTTCAATTTTTTTGAATACTAAAAATACTTAATATCAAAATTATTGTTTCAATTTTTTTTAATAAATACTCTAGGATTATTTAATAAATAATACTAAATATTAATAATAAAAAATAATTTTAAAAATGTCTAAGAGAATTCTTGAAATCATAAATCTGATTTAAGAGAATCGTCGTATGAAATGTTGAATTCATTTTTGTTCCTGAATGGTTTTCGAAGAATGCCCTAAAAAGAAGATGTGATAGAGAATAGAGGTAGATAGAGAATTTTATATTAGAGAGAGATTTTTTTTTAATTTGTATGTATAATTCAGTAAATTTTAGTGTGAAATTTAACACTCCTCTTAAATGTGTGACATTATAACTCTAAATGAGTAGGAGGCATATATCAAAACACATTTTCAAGTTTTATTAGGTTACTTAATTACAACCACTCAAGCTATGAAAGTCTAGTAAAGTCATATTAAATTGTGATAGTTTCTGTTAATTTGTTGTGCATAATTATATGGAATAGGTTTTAATTATTTGTAATCATGGCAAAACCCAATTGTATTTTTATATAGGGTCAAATTCACTTACACCCTAAAGATGTCATATGTAATATTTACCTTTTTAAATAATTATTTGTCACACGTACTTCTCAAGCACCATTTAATTTGTATTCTATATTTTAACACTGTAAGGGATCGGTTGCTTGCTACTGTTAGGTTAGATTAACTAAATAAAAAATTCGTAAGATATTTGGTTGGTAAGATGTGAAATTGTTCAAGCCCGCTACTAAAGTAGAAGCCCGCAATTAAATACATTATTTAATGAAATTAGTAACACCCCTCACCACTGCGATTAATTTTGTAGGGGGTGATTAAAGAGAAAAATTACAATTTTATCCTTCACATAATAACTTAATTTTGTTAAATAAGACACTTTATAGACAATTCATATAATATCATAATCTAACAATAGATGGAATCTAATGAACCAAACATATTATTAACTAATTTATTATTGAATCAGTAGGGATTTAATCCAATCCGATCTGATCCGATATAGGTAAGCAAACGAGCCCTAGAAGTTTCTCCTTTATTGGATGGAATAACTAAAAAGAATAATTATATTACAAACATCTATTAAAAAATGCAATATTTCAAAAGTTAAAAATATTATCTTGCGTTGGATACGTATATAATAATATGACATCTAATTATTGTTGGATGAATTAAAATTTCAAAAAAAAAAAAAAAAAAAACCTAAGAATTAAGTTTGTAAGGAGGTAAGTGTTACATAATATATATACTTCAGGGGTGCAAAGTGTATTTAACCCTTTTTAAAAAGGGTAAATGACAACCACCCCTTGAGGTATGGTCAAATTACGATAAAAACCCTCATGTTTGGATAATTATATCTACCACTCTCAATTATGAATGTTCTTATATCTCCACTCTTATGGTGTCAAATTTAACATAACCATCTAGATTCCGTGTAATTTTTTTTTAGTTTGTACTCGTTTTGTGCGAAAATACAGTTTCTGATGCACCACAGTCTGATATATACATAGCCAAAAATCACATCTTATGATCATCTACCTTCAAAACGTGGAGCTCGAACGAGATAAAACATGTACAAAATTGAGAATATTCTATATAATCTAGAAGATTCTACTAAATTTGAAACCGCAAGGGTGGTCGTGTAATAAGATTATAGTTGAGAGGGTAGTTGTAATTACCCAAATAGGAGAGAGATTTTCGTAATTCGACTATACCACAGGGGCAGTTGTAATTTACCCTTTTAAAAAGTACAATAGAATGTACCCCTTAATAGCTAATAATAGCATTGTGTCATCTCATGGAGAAATATTTGAAAGTTAAGTATGCAACTTAGATTGACAAACGCATGTATAGCAAAGACCATATACAAATTTAGGTGAAGAAGCCAATTCCATCATTTTCAACACATTTATTTTGAAGGAGGATTGGACCACTTTTGTTGGTATTAACTCAAGTCTCTATAATGGTCGAAGACTGAAGCCGTGCTTAGCCCAAATGCCACATAATTGGACGTATGTACTAACATAAAATAAGTGAAACTACATATTGTTGGAACTTTTGTCACTTTCGATAATTAATATTGAGTAATATTAATTAAATTATGTGAAGACTAATTTAATTTATTTACTTGATCATGATGTAAATTGAATGAAAATTGTCTTAATTGAATGGCTAAAGTTCAGAAGACGCGCACTCGATGCGATTGAGTGATAGGACTAGTTTGAGTTTAGGTGTCCAGAAGTGTTACTTTCGGGGGCATTTAGTAGTTAGTCAAATTATTTGACAAAAAATCCAAATAATAAAATATTTGGCCCAAACCAAATATATAATTAATCGGCCCATAACTAATTAATTAAAACGTTTTGAACACGATGAAAAGAACAGACACAACTTTCTGCTACAAACGACATCTCGTCTGATTCGAGAAGGCACATCTTGTAGATTGAAATTGTATTTGGAATTTTTCCAACCATTGCAACCCTCCATGGATGGATATCTGGTCAATTTTTTACGGAATTTAATCGGCAATTACAAGATAGCTCTTCATATTCTTCTTTTTGGCAGGCTCGAGTTTGAGCCCAAGCTCGATTTTTTTTATAATTATTAAATTTTATTGTTAAAAAAATATTTAGATTATAATAAAACAAATTCAAAATAAAAAAATAATATATATATATATATATATATGTTCTTTTTATATTATTTCTATAATATTTAGTATTATTATACATTAAATAAAAAATAATATATAAAAACAAACAAAAAAAAATTAAAAATTAAAAAAGTCTCGCGAGCCGGCTCGTGACGGACAACTAAAAAAAACTCGAGCTCGCGAACTCGAAAAACTCAACTCAAGCCGGCTCATAAGCTAACAAGCGGCTCAACTCGTTTACCACCCCTAGATCAAGCCAAACAAATGTATGTACAAAAAACTTTAGAGTGCTTACTTTCATGGGCTTTTGATTCGAATGTTCTTGACAACTTACTTTTATTAATTTATGCGCACTCATTTGTTTTCACCCCTCAACCATGTATTACAACAAATAAAAGATAGCGATACTATTTATGATAAAATTACTCCCAATACTTTAAACTCAGTTTACCATTGTAAATTCTAATTCGACCTCAATTTAGCAAAGTTTGACCCCTAATTCGATTTTGATTTGTTTTTTCTTTTCTTTCTTGGAAACATCTATTTTTTTGAGAAAAATAATTCTGAGTTGAACTTCGGTCTAATGCGTTGATTTTGTTTTTCTTATTTTGTTGTGTTTATTGTTCAACACAATAATATGACTGGTCAACACAGTAATATAAATTTATTTTTTAATATTACTGTGTTAGACAATAATGTACTAATATTAATTTGTTAGACAATAATATAATATTAATTTTATAGTTAATATTACTATCTAATTTAATACAATAATGTTACTGTGTTTACCAATAAAAGAATGTTCGGCAAAAAAAGAAAATAATGTTACTGTGTTTACCGGCAGTCAACGACGGTGGTCCGACAAACAAGTGTAGAAAAAAAAAAGTCAACACCGGTCAACAGCGACGACGGTCAAATTGGGGTCAATGGGCAAAATAAATTAATTGATAAATTTGGAGTTAAATTAGGGTTTGAAGGATGAAATTGATGTACATTATAATTGAAGTGTTTTTTTTTTTTTTTTTTTTTTTTCTCTTTTGAACCTTTAGGCCTTATCTGTTATTTTATACAAGTTGGGGAACTTTTTTGGTGTGATTTGGGTGGCACAATCTACCAACCCTTTTCTAATACATCATAGGTGGGGAAGGTTGCTTCATGACTTTTTTTGTTGGCATGATGCGCGTGACACGTACGCATTTCTATATTATACCATAGATGGCAAATTATTACTAAATTTGGGATAATTGTAATTTAGTCCTTATATTATACTCCATCTGTTCCATAATATCTGTCTATTTTGAGATTTTTTTTTGTTCCATATTATCTGTTACTTTACAATTCCAATAATGCATTAATTGCTTATTTTGCAATTTTACCCTTATGAACTCTATAGCACTCTTCCTGCATTAATTAATAAACAAGGGTATTTTGGTCAATCAATATCTATTTTCCTAAAATCAATATATATTTATTGAGATTCTTAAGATTTGTGTCAATGTGAAAAACGACACCTATTTAGGAACGAATGGAGTACCAATTACTCAATTAATTTATTTCTGACCACGAATTTAGTCGTCAAACGTGCAATATTTTTACATTTTTGGCCCGCATTCTATTTTTGGGGCTTAATGCAACCAAAAATGTCACGTGATAGTGAGACTAATAAGACTCTCGTTTTATAACTCTTTCTTACTTTTGGAACATGTTTGGCATTT